AAGACGCCGCAGTCGGTCGGCATCACCCCCACCTCCAGCAGGAGCTCCACCACCATCGCCACCCCGTGGGGAGCCCACAGCACCCAGAACAGCCACCCCACCCCGCTCCCCACCTCACCCCGCACCCCCCGCAGCGCCGCAGCCGTCAGCAGCGCTGCGGGCAGCAGCAGGAGGACGCAGCAACACACGGCGAGATGCAGCAGATGCGCAGCAGAATCCACGTCCGCGCTGCGATGCAAGCACTGCGTGCTCGGCCCCGTCCCCGCCACGCCACCGCTCAGCGCCGCCGGCACCGCCATCGCCACCGCCGCCACCCACAGCACCACCGCCCTGCACCAACCGCGGCCCCGCAAACCGCAGCACCCGGCGCCCAGCAGCAGCCCCTGTGCCAACACGCTGCCCTGCCGCAGCAGCAGCACAGCCCTGCACGGCCCCTCGCCCGCCTGCCACCCCCAAGCGACGCCCGCAGCCGTCGGCAGCGACGTGAGGGCGAACAGCGCGCAGCACGCGGCCAGCTGGGCCGCAAACGTGCGGCCGTGGGGCCAGGAGTGGGGACGCAGGGACAGAGCCAGCAGCAGAGCAGCCGTGGCCACGAAGGAGGTGGCGCTGGTGGCCATCAGGTACGGCGGTGCGGCGCGGTGGAAGAAGGGGCAGTAGTGGTTGTGGCACGGCTCTGCGGCCGCAAAGTCCTCGTCGTCGCTGTCTGTGAGGTCGTCCGCGTAGTCTTCGTTGTAGGAGGAGTTGAAGAGGTCCAGGAGGTTCAAGGAGGTTCTGTTTGCTACGATGTCAGGGCTCTGCGAAGCACAGGAGGTGCCGTGTGCCGTGGGGTGCCACTGAGTTGGCCCCTCCGATGGCCACGTGCCGCGTGTTATCAGGGAGGGACAGCGTGGGGAGCGCTGATATCTCAGGGTGTGGGTTCACCCCAAGTCAAGAAAACCCCATTTTCTTGCTCTCAGTGGTGTTTTCCAGTTCTGGGACTCCCTGCTACGCGCCCACCTGGGGCTGGGGGACATGGGGTGGTTGGGTGCCCCATGGGGTCAGGGTTGGGTACCCAGTGAGGGTGGGGTTGGGGATCCCATGGGGTTGGGTAACTCTTGGGGTCTGGGTCGGGTATCCAGTGGGGTTGGGGACCCCATGGAGGTGGGATTGGGGACCCCATGGGGTGAGGGTTGGGTATCCAATAGTGTTGGGGACCCCATGGGGTCAGGGTTGGGTATCCAATACTGTTGGGGACCCCATGGGGGTGGTGTTGGGGACCCTATGGGGTCAGGGTTGAGTATCCAATACTGTTGGGGACCCCGTGGGTTGGGTTCCCTATGGGGTCAGGGCTGGGTACCCCACAGTGCTGGGGAATTGGGGCGGAAGGGAGGAAGGCGATGGGTGTGAGAGCTGGAAATGGGGTCACCTCCAAAGAGAGGAATGGAATTTTGGAGAACCCCGCAGGATGGGAAGGACTCACCCCCGGGACGCAGTTGCCCATGGTGTTTCCTCAACGCCTCCGGGCTCAGCAACGGACGCGCAGCGCTGTGTGCACAGTGCTCAGCTCCGCTCTGGCTCTGCTTTGCAGGGCGAAGGGCTGCAGGGCCGTGATAAAGGCTGCCCCAGCTCCCTGCCTCCCTTTCTCCCTCCCCAGCTCAGCAATTCCCTCCGCCAGGGCTGAAGGAAACGGGCGGCTGCTGCCAGTAAAGGCGCCGAGCAGCGGCGCTGGTAATTTCTGGTGCAGGAAGCGATCATTCCTTGGCAGAACGACTGCAGTTCCTTCGGAATTTTGTTTGGAAGCGCTGCTGGTGCGGGGCAAAATCCGTGCCAGGTTTGCAATCCCCGTCCTTAGGGGCTGGGAATGTGGGGATGGGATGGGGGGCGTCTGGGTGGGTTTGGGGGCTGCGTCCCCCCCTTTCCCTCTCCCCTGGAGGCCACGGGCGGAGGCAGAGATGAGCAGGCGGGTGAAGGTGTGTAATCCAGATATATTTCATAGGATTATTTCTCCGAGATTAGCACAGGATATTAGAAAGGTTATAAAGTAACACCGACGTTCGTTGTCTCCCTTTATGTACATACAAGAACACAGCACAACAACACAGCCCGTCCTCCGCCCCACGGCCGCCCCACGGCGCTCAGAGCTCCGCGCTAATATGGCTTTCGTGGTCTATTGAGAGTTCAGTGCCCCGCGTCCCCGTCCCGGTGCTCTGGTGGCACGCGGTGGCCATGGGGCCAATGCAGCCCTCGTGCTTCGGGAGGGGACACCGGGGATGTGGTGACACTGCAAAGCTCCACTGGGTGCCAGCAGTGAGGGGCACAGTCCCAGTGTCACCTCCTGCGGGACGCCGTGTCCCCAGCTGTGTCCCCATTGCCACCCCTCGCGTGGGGGCTGTCCAACCACGGCCCCACCGCTCCATGGCTGAGTCCTGACCCAAAATCCCCACAGCCCTTTTTTTCCGGGGACCCAAATCCCTCCCGGACCTTCAGGACATCTCCTGCGCTCCGATCCGAAACCGTGGTGACGCGCGGTGAGATGAAACCGTACTTAAAAACACGGCGCCGCATTTCGTTGGAAGGAATTGAGCCTATGGAGAGTGGATGGGGAAGACCTTCGGAGAAACCCACGTGCTGTGCGTGTGCTCTGTGTGTGCAGTGAAGTGAACGGCAGCGTGTCGGCAGCGTGACCTCTGGTGACAACGCTGGGACCATGGCCAGCATCCTCCTTCCACTGGGACCGTGACCAACATCCTGCCATTGGGACCCATGGCCAACATCCTTCTCCCATTGGGACCGTGACCAACGTCCTCCTTCCATGGGGAACCGTGACCAACGTCCTCCCATTGGGACGCACAGCCAACATCCTTCTCCCTTTGGGACCGTGACCAACATCCTCCTACCGGGACCAGGACCAACGTCCTCCTCCCGTTGGGACCCTACAGCCAACATCCTTCTCCCTTTGGGACCCGTGACCAACACCCTCCTCCTGTTGGGACCCATGGCCAACGTCCTCCTCCAAGGAGACGGAAGGGGAGGAATGGCAGTGAGGAACCCACAGGTTTTTCCTCACCAGGGGGTGGCGAAGGCTTTGTGCATCCCCCTCCAAGGCACCCGGCGCTCAGCTGATGGAGTGACAGAGCCGTGTGCTGCGGACACATCTCTTGTCCCCGCCAAGCCATGGCGGCCCCCATCCCCATCCACCACTCCGCTCCTCGTCCTCTGGGTGGGAGCAGCACTTCCACCCCACGCTCTGTGGTGGAGGAACCCAATTCTTCCTTTACCTCAGAGATGGGGCTGCCCACCCCACTCCATTCCTGCACCAAAGCCTCAGCTCCTCTGGGCACCTCAAAATGTAACGGGGTGCTCCTGCGGGCCCCTCCTATCCAGACCATGCGATGCCAGCACCTGAGGAGGGCTGGCCCTATAGATGTGGGGTTGAGGGGAGCACGGTGACCCCAGCAATGCGATGGGGAGGTTGGAAAAAAGCTTCTTGTTCCCACCTGGCTTGGAAGAGATGTGATTTCTCCCCAGGTTGGAGGTTGGGCAAGTGCCCACCAGACCTCTTTGGAGACCCCAAGCCACCAGGATACAAAACCCAAACGTTTTTGGGCCACCCTTGGAGCCAACGAGGCCTCTTCCAGCTCAGCACCAACCACAGGAAGGGGCCGGGAAGGACAGGGGCAGCCCTGAGGAGCACCTGGAGCAGGGAACCCACAGATCACATCGCTGCTGGGGTGCAGAGCTGCTGGTCCTGGCGTGCGGCACGGATCGGGCCGACTCCACTGCACCACGAGTCACTCTCAGGACCCAAAACACCGTTCTGGAGGCTCCTGGGGGCCACCGAGGAGGTGTTGGCGATGGCCCAGCACTGAACATCTCAATAGATGGTTTGAATTGACGTCTCCAATCTGAGAATTTGCAAACTGGGGCTTTTTCGTTCATTTTTTTTTCTTTTTTCCCCCCTCGATTTGCCCCCCGCAAACCCTGCCCTCTCCCCCCGCCTCACACTGGATGGGAACGGGGGCGGCCGCGGTGCCCGGCAGCTCCCAGCATCTCCGGAGGCTTCGGCAGTTCCCACCCTGGAATCTCAGCCCCTTCACACACCGCCGGCACGAGGGCAGCTCGCCTCCCCAGCAGACGCTGTCGGATGAGGACCAGCAAGGATAAAATCAGGGCAGGGATGCGGGGGGATCCACAGCAAACCCCATCCCTACGGACCGGGGACGACGGGGAGGTCCCAGCTCTCGGTGGGAGCACCGACGACGCAGAGCCCGGAGCTGATTTTATCCTCGGGCATCAAAAACGAAAACCCAAAACGGAAGAGAAACGAAAGGAAAAGAGCTACATCGACCCCAGCCCGACACCCCAACCGAGGGCTCAAAGCAAAGAGCAGCCACGAAACCGAAGCAAAGGTCCGAAGGAAGAAGGAACGTCGCTCACTCACTGCTTGGTCTGTGTTTCGCGCGAGCGCCGGGCGCGGGGTTGGAGGTGCAAGCAAGCAAACGGGGCTTTCGCTGTTCGTAGTAACAACGTTTTGTACAAGTTCAACAAGAAGCATCATCACATCTCAGCCGGTCGCTCTCTGCTCTCTGTCCCGCCATCCCTCCGTCCGTCCGTCCATCCGTCCGCCCGTGCCGGGCACGAGAGTAAATCTGTTGGGTTGAGTGGGGTTTGTGGTCTGGTTTCCGTTTCCATCGGGGTTCGCTGGCTCCATTTCTCACCCTCTCCGACGCCCTTTAGATGAAATATTCCTTCTTGTCGTCGCCGCCCGCTTGGCCGCCCTCCGCGTTGATGATGGCCGTGTCGGCATCCGGAGCGTCATCGGAGCCCTTGGCCTCGTGGGTCAGGTAGGTGCCTGTAGGGACAGGGGACAACGTCACCGACGTGGGATGGGTGGCACAACGGGGCCACTGTGGCTGGGAGAAATCCTTCGGCCTTAGCCTGCAATGGAAGAAATGGGTTTTGCGTGGGGGAAAAACCCCACTGGGGACCAGGCTGCCCGAAGCAGCCGATGCTGTCGGCTCTACAACAACGGCAACGGCCCTCCTGCGTGGTTCTGCCCACCCTGACCCTCCGTCCCTGTTCCCTCGGAAGGTTTTCCTGCAGGAGGAGGAGGCGGGGTGGGGATGGGGGGCTCTTACTCACACATCACCACCTCGGGTGGGTTTTGCTGCGGCCTGGCGGTGATGGTCTCCCCGTGTCTTATGCACACACCTGCCGGGGGGGATGGAAAAGGGGTGGGGAGGTGGAAATGATGGGAGGGGGAGGGAGAGGAGAAAGGGGGAAATCGATCGGTGGGGCGCTGCGGGGCTGAGGGCGCATCGAGGGGAGAGGAGGAGGAATGGAGGTGGGGGATGGAGGTGGAGCTGGGCAGCTCGAGGTCGGCACGGAGCTGAAGAGCGGCCCCTAAACCCAACCTTGGCGGGGGCTCCGCTGCCTGTCGCCTCCCTTCGTCCCGCATCCCCGTACCTTTGTGCCTGATCAGGTAATGTCCCAGCACGATGAGGAGGCTGAGCAGGAGGAAGACGATGACGGCCACCACTCCGCCGATGACCGCGTGGTAAGTGCTGGAAGTCGACGGCACCGGACTGGCGTCTGCCCAGGAGATGGAAGGGGGAGAAAGCAGAGAGAGGGGAGGGGAGGCTGCGGTTCGCCCCGGCTCCCGCTCAGCGCGGCGCTGAGGAGGCAGAAGGTGGGGAGGAGCTGAGCCGGGGTGAAGCAGCGTGGGGGGAAAGCAGTGGTGGTGACGTGGAGATGGGCAAAGCTCTGCCTGCTGTGAGCACCAGCGCTGCACGATGGCTCTGCTGCCACCGTCCCCTGGTGCGCAGTGGGGGCACGGAGCCGCGGCAACTCTCAGAGGGGACATCGGACAAAGAGAAGGTGGAAAAAACAACAGAGGAAGACGAGGAGAATGGACACAGGGGGGACAGATGGACGGATGTGGGGGCACCAGAGCTGTTCGCACGGCAGCGGCGATGCAATGGGATGGAAGCACAGGGAGGATCGTGTTGTCCCCATGCCACCAAGCAGGGCTCAGAGCCTGGCTGGGCACGTGGCAAAGCGTCCCTAACCCTGCACGGGGCCACCGTCCTCCTGACATCGTCTCCAGCTGAGGAGCAGCGGGTCCATAAAGAGACAGAAATGGAGCGTACGGTACCTTGGATGGGAGCTGGAGTGGAGGATGAAGCGGTGGCCATGGAAGCATGAGAGATGGGCTGGGAAGGGCCTGGCGGAGGGGCTGGAGTGGAGTGAACGTGTGGGGTGGGGAGCTGGGAAGGATCTGGGGAGGACGACAAAAACACAGGGACAGCCATCAGCCCCCGGCAGGGACAGAGCCCACGGCTGGGACCCTGGCAGGGGTGGACTTTCCACCACCCCATTTCTCTTCCTGCCTCTGGGTCACATCGGGGACACCATTGCAGTGTCCTACCTGCCAGCAGCCCCATGAGGGACCCAC